GAGTTAGCAAGGAAATTTATCCAATTAAAAAAAAAGTTTGAGTGCTTTTTGGCAAGATGAATCGACGATAATATAATAATAATAATAATAATAATAATAATGTTTATTTCTGAAAAATATATATATCATTACAATGTTTTTTTGTTTTTTATTTGCTGTGGTAGGATTGCAGAAACAAGCATTAGAAAACCCATTAGAACCACAGGGTCGAGCATGGGTTTGTCAAAACTGTATCTATTTATCCTAGAAATCGAGCAGCAGAGAAGAAAGAGAGAGAGAGAAAAAAAAAAAACATGTTATATAATTTTTACGTGAGCTAACTTAGATTATATAGGGTGAATTGTGAATTAAACAAATATAAGTATTTACTCTGAATAAACAGTCCTAAATTAATTGTAAAAAAAGAAAAAATAATTATTAATTATGTCCATAATCGTCATTATATTTGGGTACAAATTAGAGTGAATTTTCAAACTATATGTTATTACCTATTCTATAATGTGACGGACGTACTCTCTTGTCAGAGAAAATATATAGTGTTTGAAGATGTCTTTCAACAGGTTGGGCGAGTTTATAGTGAATAAATAATTTTTGTACATTTCTGGCAAACTGTTGAAGATTTTATAGCGGAGATATAAATAGCATTTTTGACCAATTGATTTTTTGCAGAAAGGTAATTTGGCAGTGATTTTAATTCTACTTCTTGTTGAATGGTCATGATGAGTATTATCCAATATGATTTTATTCTTGTTCAAATCAGTGGTAATGCTGTACATGTAGAGTTGTCTGATATTCATAACATGAGCCTCTGCATAAAGTTGGTCAGAGGGGTAAGTATATGGTTTTTTGTACATGATTTTCAAGATTTTTTTCTGTAGTGTGTCTAGTTGTTTTAGGTGTTTATAGACGACCCCACCCCAGCTTAGAACTGCATACTGTAACCGGGACTCAACAAGAGAGTAATATATCATTTTTAGGTGCGTGGTGTCCAAGATATTTCTCAAATACCTGAACTTTGGTAGCAAGCTTCTTAATGTCCTAGTCATGTTCGAGATATGGAAATTCCATTTTAAATGAGAATCAATTGTTATTCCGAGATACTTTACTTTATCTGATGATTTTATTTCATACACAGAATTTTCGTGTGAAATTCTCAACTTGTCGAAATCAGGTAGTCTGTTTTTGTAGCTACAGAATGGAAGGTAAAAAGTTTTTTCAAAATTGATGGTGAGAAGTTTATGGTTGAACCAGTTAGTTATGTTGCCAAAGTCTTCTTCAACATTAGTTCTTAGGTCGCTCCACGAATCAGATGAATATATAACAGCTGTGTCGTCAGCGAAGCTAATTACTTTTCCAGTGGATTCTATGGTAAGTAGGTTGTTAATATAAATACTGAATAGTAAGGGGCCCAGAACTGTACCTTGTGGTATACCGTATTTCAATTTTTTTTCATTGCTCATCTCACCATTAATTTTGACCACTTGCCTTCTATTTTTCAGGTAACTTTCCATCAGGTCTAGTGCAACACCTCTGATTCCGATGCCTGCCATTGTATCTAGTAACTGCGAATGATTAACCGTATCGAAGGCTTTGGCCAAGTCTAAAAATATACACAAGGTTGGCTTACTAATGTCTACTAGTTTATAGATATCCCCAAGCAAAGATGCGATGGCGTCATTTGTCGATATACCTTTTCTGAAACCGAATTGTTGTTTTGAGATTATATTGAATTTATCTAGATAAACCGTTAATCTATTTTTCAAACATTTTTCAAAGATCTTGGCAACAGCTGGTATCACAGAAATTGGCCTGTAGTTATTTATTTCAATCATGTTGCCTTTTTTGTAGATGGGAGTCACTACCGCCATTTTGAACTCAGAAGGGCATATACCAGTAGAAAATATTTGATTGATCAGGTGTACTAACGGATCGGCAATTTGGTCGCAGATTTCTTTTATTGATTCCGATTTAATTTGGTCAATACCAGGCGATTTATTATTTTTTAGTTCAGTTATTATACTAATGACTTCATTTTTTGTTACAGGTTTCAAATAGAAAGAGTTGGGTATATAGGCAACTGGAGGAGGAGGTGTAGATGGAGGCACAATTTTTTTAGCATATACAAATAAACAACAATAAACAACAATGATGATTACCTTTATTGATGATTCCGTGTACTTAGTTTGTGGAATTGATTTTCTCATATTTTCGTGGTTTCCTCAGACGAAATTTTCCTAATTGCTAATTCACGCGTGAACCATACCCATCAATCATACTTGACACGACAGAAATTGGAGTGACATCAGGCGCAAATAGCTACTAGATCAAAGGAGCAAGCAGTTTATCAGCGATAAAAAAGGTGCAACCTTTTTTATCGATGTCAAAATGACTCACGTCGTCGTCAAATAGCGTTTTCCATGGAGGAGTACATTATTTATCGAAGGTAATATAGGTTATACCACGAGTTTTTCAGATTATATCGACAATTTCTTCAATTTTCCACGAAAAACTTCTTATTTGGCAAAAATATGAAATCAAACCGATTGATAAGATCACAAATCCTTAGGACGAGTGATTTTATCCAATTCATTTCGGTCAAATGATTCTGCCTCAAATAAAATACCCATACTTTACCTAGTTTCAGTAATTAAAATTAAAAAAATTATCAACAGAACATTACCACCGAGATTACCACTACGAATGTAATTTGGCGTGATTATTTTTTTATTTATTTAGCAAAATGCCCAGCGGAAACGAACATTATACAGCTACACACTTTGGTTTTGCGTCATTTCTGTTCGAACAGACTTGATCGCCGAACAAAACAGCCTACCAACAACGCAGTCTATGGGCCCCTTTTGAAAATAATCTCCAAACGTGAAGAAATTATCGCTGATAAACGAGGTTTGTTGGTCACGTGTGGGTCAATTCGCCTTCAGTATTGGTAGAGCAAGTCCGATAAAATTTAATAAACAAAAAATATCGCTAGAATACAGAAGAAACCGTGAAAATGGTCGATTATGATTGGTTCTCGAGAACAAGAGTGGAATAGTCGCTGTAATTTCCTACTAACAAATTATCAGTATGACACCAAATGATTGAATAGAATTAAGCATTGCCATTGGTTGAAATCAGCAAAATGCTCGTCAAAATGTCAGATTTCGACATGTGAAATGAATTATCAGAACAAATTTCGAAAAAACTTCGCGGAAACGCATAAAAACCAAAAAATCTACCTGTTTTGAAGGTGATCGAAGACGCCGGCGAGCCCCCTATCTGGGGCAGTATCGTAGTATTTCGGGAGGGTTGGTTTTGTTGAGGGTAGAAGAAAAATGTTACACTTCCTTTAATCTCGTTCGTTTGCCATGACAATGAAACATTCATACAATCAATCATGCATTCTTCTAATCTTGACATGTAATTTGACACTTCTCACAACTGACGGAGGTTTTGGAATGTCCTACTTTACGTAACCATTTGCGTAAAGTAGAATAGTACATTTTGTGCTGCTTCCTCGATATCACGTGGGAAAACTGAACTTGAATCAGCGATTTTCCACTAATGAAGATATCAAACGAGACTATTTCGTGAATTTCGTCGCTGATTTGTGACCATACTTTTGTTTGAGAAATTCTTCAAAATGACATGCGATATTTTCAATAAAGGTTTGAAAAAATATGTCACGTAACTAGTTAGGAAACGCATTTTGTCTAACTCTGATGGATTCCCTAACCAATAAAATATAGGAACAACTTTTCTTATCGATGTCGAAATGATCCACGTCATCGACAAATAATTATCAATTCCATGGAGGAGTTGATTTATCGAAGGTAATAAAGGTAATACCACGAGTTTTTCAGATTACATCGACAATTTCTTCAATTTTCCATGAAAACTTTCTTGTATGGCAAAAATATGAAATCAAACCGATTGATAAGATCACGAATCATTAGGACGAGTGATTTTATCTAATTCAGTTTGGTCAAATGATTCTGCCTCATATAAAATACCTACTTAACCTAGTTTGAGTAGTGAAAATTTGAAAAATCATCAACAGTATACATTACCACTACGAATGTAATTCGGCGAGATTATTTTCTCAACTATTTAGCAAAATGCCCTTCGAAAACGAACATTTTACAGCTACACACTTTGGTTTAGCGTCATTTATGTTCGAACAGACTTGTTCGCCGACCAAAACAGCCTACCAACAACGCAGGCTATGGGCCCCTTTTGGAAAGAATCTCCAAACGTGGAAAAATTATCGCTGTAATTTGCTACTAACAAATTATCAGTATGTTACCAAATGATTGTTTGGAATTAAGCATTGCCATTGGTTGAAATCAGCAAAATGCTCTTCAAAATGTCAGATTTCGACATGTGGAATGAATCATCAACAGTAAAAACACAAGAGCTTTTTTTATCGGATAAATTTCTCTTGGTAACGAAAAACATTTGCCGATCAGTAATTTTACGAGAAAAACTGACACAAGTTTGTCTGATGTCAGTTTCTTTAGAGAAATAACTGATGGAAAATGTTTGAGTTAGCAAGGAAATTTATCCAATTAAAAAAAGTTCGAGTGTTTTTTGGTGAGATAAATCAACGACAATATACAAATAAACAACAATAATGATTTCCTTTATTGATGATTCCGTGTAAGTGGTAGTTTGCGGAATTGATTTTCTCATATTTTCGTGGATTCTTCAAACGAAATTTTCCTAAAACGGCTCATCTTTCTATTTTATGCGTGAACCATATCCATCAATCAAACTTGACATCACAGAAATTGGAGTGACATCAGGCGCAAATATAGCTACTAGATCAAAGGAGCAGGCAGTTTATCAGCGATAAAAATAGTGCATCCTTTTTTATCGATGTCAAAATGACTCACGTCGTCGTCAAATGGCGTTTTCCGTGAAGGAGTTGATTTATCGGATGAAAAATTTTCGGGAAAACTTCGTGAAAAAAAAACCTACCTGTTTTGATGGTGATCGAAGACGCAGGCGTGCCCCCTATCTGGGGCAGTATCAGCTGAGGGGGCGGCGACCCCCCCTCGGTCGTCGACCCCACCGAGCTGGGGTCGCTGAAGCCGCCCCTCGTGTCCTCAGGGGTGGTATCGAAGAAGCACAGATTGAACTCGGAGCCGGCCTCGAACGTTATTTCGGGGGGGTTGGTTTTGTCGGGGGAGGGGGCGCGGCCCAGGTTGCTGTTCAGCGATTGGTCGATTTTGAAAACGTCCATCTCGAGTTGAGGGGGTGGGGGGTTAGATCTGGAAGAGTTGCGTGACGGGAGGCGTATTGGCATTGTCTCCTATGGTACGACGCAACCTGAGAAAAATGTATGCCGAATCGCGGAAGACAATGTCCCACGATTTGGCAATGATACGCGCGACATTCTCTCCTGCTTTAGGACGCTATGTGCTGAATATAGAAGCGTCTGGATCTTGGTAAAACTGCATTTAGCATGCGATGGGCTTCTTTTCGAAAATTTTATTGGTACTTACGTATTTTTGTCTGAAAAACACGAATTTGATAATGAAAATGTGAATAAACCATTATTTATCAAGATATTTCACTATAAAGTTACAAATTTCACCTTCTTTTCCGCCTGTCCTCTGGATTGAATTTAAAACAATTTACCCTTCTTTTTTCATCATTGGACAATTTATATATATCACAATGTAAGACACATTTTTTTCTATAATTGAGTCAACTAGAAATATGATTTTCTTGTGATTCATTCATATTTATTGAAAAGAAGGAAGAATATCATTTGAAATAATGGCGTGTAATTTCATTCCAAATTCCAAAGCAATCTATTGACATTTTATATCTCGTATTTGGATTGCCTAATGCCTATGGATAAAATGGCCGTCATCTGGTATGCTTGCACACTAAATAGGAAAAACGCACCATAAAAATCATGCATCCAACGCAAGGGGAAAAAGGAGTCGAAATTTCGAACTTTTTTTTGAAATATCTCGATAAATAGTGGTGTGTTCACATTTTCATTATCAAATTCGTGTTTTTCAGACAAAAATACGTAAATACCAAAAAAAAAAATTCGAAAAAAAAACCCATCGCATGCTAAATGCAGTTTTACCTTGTATTCAGACGCTTCAATATTCAGCACGTAGCGTCCTAAAGCAGGAGAGAATGTCGCGCATATCATTGCCAAATCGTGGGACATTATCTTCCGCGATTCGGCACACATTTTTCTCAGGTTGCGTCGTACCATAGGAGACAATGCCAATACGCTGACGGGAGATGGTCGAGCGTTGTTTTCGGTTTTGGATTTTCGAAAGACAGGTGAACTGTTTTGGCAATTGCAGGGCGTTTCTTTGAGAAATGGACATACGTCGACAGTAGATAGAGTTGGTTCTAAATATTTTGACCCCTATCCACAGATCATTCAACTATAGGATGTGAAAAAAACTTCTGTACTATCTTGTGGCATCCTTGAAAAAACAGATGCGAATCGCAAAATGAAAAAAGGTTTCGCTTATACAGTGTGTCCATTTAGTGCGTAATTCTTCGATATATCGAAATCAATTATCACAAGAGAAAAACTTTGAAGAAAAAACTTTTTCAGTTACTAAAGTTGCTCATTTCAAAAATATTTCCAACAATACTGGGTGTTTTATAAAAGCAGAGCAACTCGAATACGAGTTTTTTTAAATGGAACACCCAGTATTGTTCATTCGAAATTTATTCCGCTAAGGTTTAGCTCTTCATCGCTGTGAAAAAAATTGAATTTGGTTGCGGCGTTGCCAAGTTATAATTGATAAACCCAATTTTACTACTATTGAAGGGTCATTTTCAATTGAGTATGGTATATTTATTTATTGAAATTTCGAAAATATTTTTGGCATACAGTAGTAGCAAGGTTTCACGGATACTAATCCAGTTTTCTTGCGAGATAATCCTTCACAGGGTGCTAAAATTTACATTCTGAATATTGTAAGATTCAGACGACGATCATAAGAATTTTTTAAATGGAACACCCTGTATTTTTCATCACAGATTTATTTCGACATCATTCGCCTTTTCATCGCCGGAGAAAAAATCGAAATCGGTTGCGGCGTTTTCAAGTTATGAGTAATTTCCTTATTTTTACTATACTATTTCGGGGTAATTTGTACGTCATGATGGTTCCTTTATTTGATTTGAGTGTGGGAATATTTCTTGCCACATGACATTCGAGATTCTACATAGATCATTCAGGTATTTTCGCGATATGTGCATCGTCCAAAGGACCCCGCACTTTTTCTATATAAAAATGGCGTTCCGTCGAATTTCCCCAATTTTTGGTAAATGATAGTACTCGACATACTGATTGAATATGCCAAGTCCCAACTCAATCCTATGACTAGTTTACGAGATACAGGGTGTTGAAGTTGAAGAATACCTAATTTTTCTCGGCCTATATCTCTAAGATAGGACAAATGAATTCCAATTTTTCGGGAGCACGTAATAGTTATGCCCTTAGGCGCAAGAACTATATAGGTATTCGACCAAAACTGATTTTTATTACAGGGTGATTCTCATTTCAAATAATGTGTTTTTTTGAATATCTGAATATCAATGCTACAAATTGATAACAATTACAAAATGAGATTTATAGCCAAGTATGCTCTTCTTACATCAATTGAATTCGTAAAATATAATAATTATACATGGTGTTTCATTAATGCTGTTGATTGCATAATTGGTCTATCCTAAAGTTCATTGGGCCACCTCGTATTATCGGGTTGATTCCAGACATTCAAAATATTTTTGAAGGATGTATCCCAATGAGTTCCATGATATACAGAGTGATTCATCGATTGAAAAAATTGACAACCACGAAAAAATATTCAAAAACCACTATTTTTTTCATCACCCTCTAATTCGAAATTATTACCGTCGATGTAAGATTTTTTTCCACCAATATACTCAGTATGGATATTTCAATCAAATTGGGAATTTTCAGACCCATGCTATGACTAGTTTTTTTTTATACATCGAATAATGTGAAAATAATTATGGAAAAGTAATTACATAATAACACGAAAAATTGCTCCGAATCGCAAAACTAGTAGTCACTAGTCAACTATGTCAAAAAATGTGATTTGTTCGTAAACAAAATCTAGTGGTATTATTATAGGTCCGCTAGCAAAACATCTCGAAAATGTTTTTCAGAAAACATCAAACAAATCACAATATATGCCCCCGAAAAAATCTCATCAACGACACAACTCATCAACGATCCCACTCATATAAACGTGCTAAAACTCATGAGCGTTCCAAGTCGACAGCGGTTTTTCCCAACTCAATCCTATGACTATACTTTTCGAAAAAAATATGAAACTAAACTTCCGCAAACGCCTAGTGAGAGGTGCGCGTTAATATATTTTGCAACTCTCCTTTATCCAACCAACTTCCAATCTTTTGATCATACTGTATATTGTTAGAATCGAAGTTAGTATATGCACATCGGAAAGACACTAAAGTTGGAGTTTTGGTTATGTAGAGATATTCGTTACCGGGTTCAGTATAGACTTGAAAGAAAAATGGAATACAGGAACATCAGTAGGTACCGAGGAATCATCATTTATCCAACACATCAAAAATATAGTAAAATAATAATGAAACAATCTCGAAGCCTCTTTCTTCCACTCAATATCAATTCAGAATTGCAATCATAGATTTTGAAAAAATACATGAACCAACTCGTTTTCCAACAACATCTATTTGTTGGAAGAAATAGTGGCATTAGGTAATGTATATCGTAAGATATACATACCGTAATAGATCGATAGACATCCTCAAATAACTATAAAATTATATTTTAGGGTAAGTTCTAGTCCCAATTCAAGTTGACAACTGATATTTTCGGAATCGGCGGGGTCGAATTAGTCTAGAAACTTGGGTTGTCACGAATTAATAAGTATGTTTTACTTCGTAGAAGTCGAATTTGGATTATCGCAACCAGATAGAATATTTTTCAGTAGGCTTAGAAAACAAAATCATGATATCAATAAATGTGTCTGTCATCCAGCAACTTTCGGGTTGTCAGTATCTTAAAATATCATATCAGCGTATATCTTTATTCTGAGTGTTTTTTAAGTCGTTTTCAGTAATTGTTTAGTGAATTTAGTGCGCATTATGGCATTTGCAAATAGGGTAAGATGTTATGTATGCGAAGGGAATTTAATTCCTAGACTCACAATTCGTATAAATCGTGAAGATAATGTTGATTTTCTGCAAATTGCAACATTTAGAAGACAAGCTGCTGGAAATCCTCCAATTGACATTTTTGATGATACCAGAGTTTGTTTCAATTGTCATAACAGTGTAATAATTGATATCAATGAGATGGAAAATAACCCAAACTGTCTTCGCCTAAATGTATTGAGTCCAGTAATGAGCCGTGCCTGCATAATCTGTAATGCTCGTCAACATGTTCAGAGAATAACTCTTGCATGTAGGGTGAACATTTTTGTTGTAACGAATATTTATGTTCCGGACTTTCTGAGAATTTGTGGTCATCATCTTGACCCTCATGGATTTCTCTTGAATAATTTGCATGGAGGTTTGAATTTTATCAACAAACCCTATTTGATATCAAATATGCTTCAATTTCTACAGTGTATGAGAACAGTTGCCAATGAAAATAGACGTATTAGAAACTGGGATGATATTGATAGTTTTACAGAAGAAGAGTTCAAAGCTCTGACGTCGATTTCAAAAGAAGATTTTCAAGAACTTTATGGATTTTGTGATACAATCGAGCAAGGGGGAAATAGAAGGCATATCAAAAAGAAACATTTACTGACATTTCTAATCAAAATGAAACATGGAGTTTCAGATGAGTTTTTGAAAATCTTGTTTCATTTTTCTTCAAGACAAACAACTAGCTTGATAATATCGAATGTGAGGATATCTCTAATGCAAAGATTTGTAACTAATAATATTGGTTTCGACTCTATTACAAGAGACGATTATATTAATAGACACGTGTCTGTATACACCAATCAGCTATACAACCCTTCTCCCAATATCCCAAAAGCAATTGTGTATATAGACTGTACATATAACAAAATAGAAAAAAGTAGTAATTTCCGGATATTGAGACAATCCTACTGCTTCCATAAAAATGAGCACCTGGTTAAGCCTGAAATTATGGTCGCTCCTGATGGCTACATCTTGGCAATTAATGGTCCATACTTTTCTGATGCTAGAAATAATGATGCCACCATT